ATCAGATTTGTGATAGGTGTCTATTTGATCTTTGAAGTAAAAAAAAAAGGTTGTTAGCTCTATTTGATCTTTGAAGTTTCAGCTCGTGTCATGAGATGTTTGGTCAAGTCTATAATGAGTTGAACCTGCTTTCCTTTCCTGTGGCAAGAGCTAGTTTGCTAAGTTCGAATTTCCATTTCTTGTCTGTGTGACTCCCTTTGATGCTAGTAACCGAGTTTGACCCCTTTTTTTTGCATTTCTTTCCATTTCTTTACATTGTTGCCCAAAGAGAATCTTTACCTTTACTTAGTGAGGGGTTACGCTCTTATAAAAGTTGAACTTGTGGTCGATTCGATTGAGATTTTTTAAGATATATTCTATTTCATTGGCTAGTGGAGGCCGGTGTAGCTAAATTTAACTACCTACGTATTCCTAATTGGATTTTTGGGCTGAGTGTCTTTTTTCTAAGGTATATATTTGATTTTTACTCATTTTTTAGAAACCTTTTGCTTATGTCTTTTGAATGAAATTATGTATTTAGCTCTAGTTTTTTTTTTCAACTTGAGTTTCTCTCTCTTTTTATCTCCCTTCCTAGCTCAACTCCAAAAAGGATCCTTTCTCTCTCTATGACACATGAATGTTCATTTTATCTCCCTACCCATCCAACCCAAAAGAGAGAGAGAAAAAAAAAAAACTCTCTATGACCAACAAAGGTTCTATACATTATGAACTTTGTTTTTCCTTTCTTTTTTTCCTCTATGAGAAATTTCATATTTTTTTTTCTTGATTGTGGAAGAAAATTGGGGCGAGGTAACCGACAGTGAAGTTTGGAGAAGGAAGAAGATAGTCCGATCAATATAAGTATAAATGTTAAATTAATATAATTTATGGAATCAACCGTTAAAGTTAACAATTTAACTACCACATCATGATGGTCAAATAGAATCAACTTTGTGGTCAGTGTACTCTCTTTCCTTATCCTTTGCCTCTCACCTTATCCCACTCCCGTACTACGTATTCCTCCTCACAGCCACTTGCCCTTGCTGTCATCATTCCGTGCTCGCCCTTGCCTTTGCCATTGTGCCCTCACCGATTTGAGCGATGGTTCATTGCGAGAGGAGGGCGAGATATCCTCACTAGCTGCCTGCATAGTTAGTCACAATAAGAAAATATATATATATATATATATATAAATCAACATAATATTTTGAAAAGTAGAGAGAAGTCAAGTTGGTTCCACACATCTCAGAAGAGAGGGAGCATTGGTTGGGTTATCACAAATTGGGACGGCCAAATCGACCAACTGTGTTAATTTGTTTTTGTCACTAGGGAAAAAAATCAAATAATAAATATCACTATAACCCATTAAAAAATCAATTCTCACAGAATTAGGTGATGATAAAATTCTTATTATAATGTTTAACATTTTTCAACAAAATCTATATATTTGTCCCAATTTTTTTGGATGTTGACGTTTGGTAAAAATATTACTATTATTTTTATGTAGGAGGTTTAGAAATAGTCAATTATTTAACAAACTTAAATCACAATTATAGTTTCGTTAACTAATTCAAATAATAATTAATTTTCGTAAATCTTGAAAATTTCATCGACATTTTTGTAAGATTGGACCTCGAGATTCCTACTTTTGTTTTTATATAGTAAATTTTAATAAAAAATGTAGGGGATTCAAACTTTCAGTGATTTGGGCACGTGCTCTAAAGGGGCGAAAGTGAAATTCTATTAACGCATTTAAAGTTAAACTAGACCTAGAGTATATCTACCCCTGATTTAAGCTTTAACCTCAACCATCTTCTCAAATATTGAAAAGAAATAGCAATAACTTTTTATGAATAGTTTTGCATATGTTAGGTTATCTCTTGAACTAATTTAATGGATAGTTATCTCACTCATTTCTTGTTTTGGGTTGTGTGAAAATTTTAATAAAATATTATATCTTTGTTAATTATCATTTCATTGGTGATATACATTTAAATTTATCATATATTATAAATGTTATTGGATTCAAATTATGTCATTTAATTACTAAATGATATTGATCAATTGTTGTCTCTATCTCATACAGTCCAAAGCATATATTATTATTTGAAGAATGGATCATTGTAGTTAGTTTATTATTTCATCGTCTATGACAAAAACCACTTCAATCTTTTTAATTTTATTGGACGATCTAAAGTTGTAACAATTCCTCAAATTAGTTAGCTGATTTTGTACCTATTCTCTGTTGTATCATTTTATTCATCTTGTACCTTCAAAACTATTATAATATAAGGTTAGTTGAATCAAATTATTAGAGAATTACCGAATGATTCAAATGTGTCCAGACATCTCTTTTCTATTAGATACGTGGTTGACAAACTTTAAACCTATAATTAATTTTATAGGATCTATTTATAGATCTTTTTATTCTAGATCCCAAATTACCTTGAGCTAGTTTCATAATAAACAGTAAATATAAAAATGATAAAAAGCGAAAATTTTCAAAAAAATGTATTTAATATTAGGAAAGAAAAGAAAATAATTTAACCTTAATTAGTTGTGCTGTTAAATATGGATGAGAAAATTGTGGTACTATAAAAAGTATATGAGACTTTGAAGATTCTGACCTAAATAAATTGTGGGGTTTATTTGAGAGTTTGACCTTTTCCCAATCCCTCCATATCCAATAACTCAGTCCAACCCCTAAAAATAAACTAACAACAATAATCCCTTAAAATTTTCATTCATAAGGCTGTTCCCATTTTAAGCAAACTCCACCACTATATAAACCCACCCGATGCTACCCAATTTCCATCACCTCCTTCATCCATTTCCATCACAAAAACCCAAAAAGGAAAAAAAATAATAATAATAATCTTCCTGCTCAAAACCCACCCTTTTTCCCATCGTTTTCGGTGGGAAAGCTTCTTCCATCTGGGTTTTGATTTTTTTGATCATCAATCACCATTTGCAGGAAGGGTTTCCACTTCCATAACCGAATAGGAGGGACCAAAAAAAAAATAAATAAATAAAAATGGCCGGGACAGCCGTGGTCTCGGTCCTATCACTTATTTTAGTGGTGGGAGTTGCTTTGGCAGTTGTGGCAGTTGTTAACAAATCCAGCTCCGGTTTGAGCACTGAGAATTTGTCCCCCAAAATGAAAGCTGTGGCCACTCTATGTTCTGAGACTGATTACCAACAAGAATGTCAAGACACTCTGGGGAAGATCGCTCAAAATTCCACCTCGGAGGACCCGAAGGAGTTCATTAAATCTGCGATTATGGCCACTGTTGAAGAGGTTAAGAAAGGGTTCAATTTGACGGACACCCTCAGCGTGGAGTCTGCTGGTAACAATTCTTCCTTGGTAAAAATGTCGATTGAGGATTGTAAGGATTTGCTGCAATTCGCTGTTCAAGAGCTTCAGGCTTCTTACTCCACCGTTGGGGACAGCGATGAGCGCACCCAAGAGGAGCGAGTCGCTGACATCAATACCTGGCTCAGCGCCGTCATTTCTTATCAGCAATCTTGCCTCGACGGCCTTGGAGAAGCCGACCCCAAGCTGAAAGAAACCATGGAAGGTGGTCTTGACGCTGCGCGCAAGCTTACCAGCAACGCTCTGGCTATTGTCGCCGGGGTCTCCCAGGTTCTCGGCAACTTCGGCTTGCAAT